GCAAAATACAAATTGAATAGTTAATAAAATTATTTAGAACAATGGTAAGAGTCCAGTCTTTGGCATATAAACAACTCCCTTAGTGGTGTATCTCATGGCATATCTAAACTCTGCGTTAAACGTAATACGCCACCACAGCTATTTTTTTTGTAAAAATATATACATGTAGGTGCACTTGCCCCATATTTGGGGCAAGTGCACCACCACAGGTTAGTTCCCATATTATAAGTACGAACGTATTCACGGGGCAAGTGCAACAAACTCACAGTTTTGTGAATTTTTTGCAATTTACCGCAATTAAATTGACTTATTGGTTATAAAGTTATTACATTTAACTCGAATATTTAGGGAAATTAGCTGGCAAAAAAAATCCATGATTACAAACTGATTTCTGAGTTTTTATTCCCAACTGTTTATGAAATAATTAAACAAAAATACAATACTAATGAAAAACAAACTTCATACAGTAAATCTAATTGATATTATAATGCGAAAAACTTCATTTCGCCTCTTCTTCCTATGGTATCTATGAAAAAAAATGTGCTTAGAAACAAGAACATAGTATGTTACGTATTACGTAACTGCGTAGGCCAAAACTAACTCCGGGGAAAGTGGGCGCACTTTCCCCCATGAAGGTAGGTGCACTTTCCCAATAAGAGAAAATTTTGGGGCAAGAGCACCTACCCCTTCAAAGTTAGCTTATTTTACAATAAAGGTAATTTTGCATATTAGTTTACTTAAAACACATATAAACTTTCAAAATAAATATCTAGTAGCTTTACACATACCTTAGCTCCAGTAATAAATGTGTTTTTTCACAGAACTGCGCATTTAACACGCGAGTAAAAACGACAACACTCAATAAAGTCGCCATTCTTTGTTAAACAATTTGATTTCGTTAAAGAAGGGATGTGTATTTTAGTGGAAAAGAGTCATGCTCTCGCATTTACCAGAGGGTGCCACCGCAGGTTGAATAGTTTTTTTTTTAAACCCAATTGGTGCACTTACCCCAAAAGCGCACTTACCCCACTTCACCCTATATTTTTAAAAGAATTATAAAGGAATGTTACCTTTTAAAATTTGGCAAAAACAATTATGGAACTTGTGCCTTATAAAATTGAAACCAGCTTATAAAAATTCATGGATATGTTTTTATTAAAAAAAAACACAAAACCGTTTCAGTTTTATGTAGTTTGCATTATTATAATTGACGTAAGTAGTCGTAGTAAATTGAACTATTTCCATTTTCGCATAAATTCCAAAGTTACAACGTACTTATGTTTATCAAATAAAGCATATAGTAGCAGAAATGTGCTCTGTTCTTATACAATTTCGCCCGAATGCACCTGTAAAGTTTGAGCACTTTATGATATCGGAATCCCGTTACTGAATTATCTTTTAATCAAATCGAAAGCATGTAGCATTGCTCGTTAAAATTATTAACAAGAATAAAACGCGAATTTGGGATTTTGCTTGTTCCGCGTTAAATTGTTCGAATAGATGGACGTTTCCGATTAATAATTATTGAACTGATTTTCATTTGATGTGTCCAATTGGAGTTGGCCAGATAATAGTGTCAAAAAGCGTTTTAATTGTCGTTTATAAATTATTTGATTTTCTACTCGCACATAAGCGGTTTAAAATTTATTGTTTTTATATAATGAAGTGTTGTTGCATTGTTTATTTAAATACGAGGCCACTTGATACTAAACATTAAAGGTTTTTTTTGCAGAAACAATCAATTTTTTTTAAAGAATAGAATAAAATATTGTATGTGTTTAATAAATAATTGTATAGAGTATATAATAATACAAGCCCACAAATAAAAATTAGTGGTCAGGGGCTGACCGTTGACTTTGGGGGCCTAATAAATAATATAAATAAAACATTATAGCATTTATACAAGGTGTCCCGATAAGACCTGTACAATGCAAGGCCACATATTTCTTGCTATACAATAATTCGACTTAACCCAACCTACCTAAACAAAAACTGCTTTGTTTAGCTGCTAGCGGCCTTCAAAGTATGAAAAAATAGTAGATTATGTCATAAGGAGTAGAAGTGACTCTTTTTGTGGTGAATACAGAGATTGACGGCCGAAGCGTAGCTGAGGCAGGCAACTGTACGAAGCACAAAAAGAGCTTCTACTCCAAATAACAAATACTATTTTTTTTCAAGGGCGTTATATAAATATAATAAGCAAAATTTACATTAAATGTACAATTACACGCACTGCAGCTCTTCAATTAAATCATGTGGGATAAAATTTTGGCTAAAAGCATTAGAAATTATTGATAAAAACTAAAAAAACTTATAACCCTTACTTACAATGCCGATAAATATCCTAAACTAAAAATAAACACAGCTCTGTCAAAATGCTGCGCTTGAATTAATTTTGACGTACTGACATTTGTTTGAAATTCCGACATTGGCGACTCGTCTATCATCATAATATTATACTAATAAACTAGTTGTTCTTTATTTCGTTCAATTAAAATTTAATAAATAATCACTAAATATTCCGTGCGATTATAATTAATATAATTAATACATCGTGATTGCTTAGTATGAAATGCTAAATTAATTTTATTATTTGACGTCTATTGAGTCACCTATGGATTTACTTCTATCCCTAGGCTTTTTTGAGTTTTTTGTCTGCCGCTAATGAAAAAGACGCACTTCAACTATCTCTATACATGCATATAAGGTTGTATATCATGGCCGCTTGAAAAAAAAGATTATTTTATACTGCAGTATATTACATTGAATAACAAAAGTCGACTCTTTTTTTCTATAAAATTGAATAGCTTATAAGCTTAATGAGCATGTTTAAATATATTAATAATATTGGTTGCTAATCGCGATTTTACATTTAAATTAAGTAGGTACACACATGAGATTTTTTTTATTTTGGAATTATACCTACATATTATGTAACATATAACTCGTTAACGGAATAATTGACTAAAATGATTAGAACTTTTATTTTAGAGAATTATACGCTTTATTATTTTATGAAAATCTACTCGTTAAAAAGTTATTTAAGACTTAAGGCAAATTCATAACAAATTTTAAGTTTTTCTTACTTCTTACTTATAATCTTTAGACTTGTTACAAAATGTTGACAATGATCATATATTTTTGTAGATCATGTTATGTTTTATAAAAAATATGTCATTATTTTTTTAATGTTTTATTTATGATTTACTGGTTAAACCATTATAAATACAAATATTTTTTTGCAATACAATTGATATTTTCTTAAAATTAATAAGTATAAATAGTTTTAGCGTAAAAGTAAGAAAAACTTGAAATTTACTATAAATGTAATTTTAAGCTTGAATAACTTTTGAACAAGTAGATTTATGAGTCTATTAATCCGCCAGAATATATTATTTTTTTACATGCTATTTAAATAAAAAAAATGAAAATCGCGATGAGGGGCCTCTTAATGATAATATTAAGAGCTAAAATTGTAAAGGGCTTAATATTAATTATTCGATTTTTTAATCATTTTATATTTTTTTGCGTAGTGGGCCCTCGATCGAACGGGCCCTGGGCTGCAGTCCATAATGCCCATGCCCAAATACGCTTATGGAAGTGGTCTGCGCCATGAATAAGACTTGTATCATATTTCTATGTATTTTCTCCCGCTGAAACTGAATATAACTTACAGACCCTACAGGTTTTTTTACATTGTGTGCTCGGATCGGGTTGCCAATAGAATTTTTTTTTATTATGCGTTTTATAAAAAAGAATCTTTCTTAAAAACTCTTGCCTTTTCCTATCAAAATAATTACTTTTGATATTGCTGATTTTTTAAACAAAATGGCAAACCCATTGGGTTTAACCCAATATATACGCTTTTTTGAAAACTTATCTGCTATTTTAAAATTTATGTAAAAAAATCTCATTTATTTAAATATATAATATACCAGGTCCAAATGACCAACCCTTTTTCAAACCAGATTTTTCTCCTCCCACTTTTAAGCGCCTATTATCCTGCATGTTTTCACACTAAATACACATTGACAAGTTGTGGCTTTATGGCGTTTTAGTCACGGGCTAAAGTTAGTTTTAAGTTAGTTGACAGTTGTCAAATGTCATACAATCGTTAAAATAAAGTGCCCCTCTTGTGAAATAATAATGTGGAATTTTATTATCTTAATACAAAAATAAAAAGTTTCTCAACGCCAATACCTATTTAAAAAGTTTATATGCAAGTTTGTACTAACCTTTTGATTTTGCCGGCAGTAAACTAAAATTAACTGAAAACATTAAAAATTTTGTGCCCATAAACATTCTCACTTTCATTGTGAAAAATGTTTCTATTTCATTATTTAAACGTTTGTTAGTCCATTTTTAAGGGATAAATTTCGATTTACACATACAAGTTTGATATTTAGACTGGCACGCAGGTAATACAGATTCCCAAGTTAGAAATTATTACGCGAGTTACTCTTTTTCTTATATATTTCGCTCTATACAAATATTTAATTTAAATCATCAAATCAAATCAAGTATAGTGTGCAAATCGTTTATAAACATACTTTTTTATACTCATTGAATTAAGTACTCGCTAAATTTGTGACTAATAGCGTTTATCAAACTTGATACATAGGTACTATACTATTTTCGTTTCTTAAGTTAATTATAAATTATAAATCGAATTGTTTTTTTTTTAATTTTTCAATAAATAATTAGATTCGCTAATTCGATTTTGACTAAGAGATTATATAATAACTACACTTTTTGGAAATGGTTAATAAAAAATCCAGTAAATTGGGGACAGCTTTGATTCTAATATTTACATATTTTAGCAAAACCCCAAAGTGACTGAGCTTAAATTGTGAAGGCACGATAGTGTTTGATTGTTTCTGCGTGGTGTAAAAACCCTTTAATCGATGATCAATGTAATAAGAAAAACATGATATTAAATCGAAAAATAAAGAACTCAACGAGAGGGGCGTTTGTGGTTGTGAAACGTATACGTACTGGATTCAGCTAAATGTTATATTCAGGGAAGGACATTTCCTAACTGAGCTACTAGAGAACGTCCTGCCGTTGACCGGTTGATGTGAAGAGGTGAGTCTTACCATGCCGGAGCCGAGTTGCTGCAGCAGCCCGGAGCCCTGCGAGCCGCCCAAGACTGCAGACGGCCTGCGAGACCTGATGCTCTGCATGCTGCTGCTCAGCAGGAAGGGCACGCTACTGCTTGTATTGGGCATCGATCCTCCCTGAAAATTGACAATCGCAAAACCGAGGTGTTATTGGGGAACATGAGGTTTTTCTTTAACTGTTTTCAAATTTTGTCTGTTTCTAATTTTATGTGAGATGCAGATGTATACTTTTGACTAAAAATTACTCACTACACAGCATTGCGTCATATTAAAATGTCCAATTTATTAACACAATTTATCTCCATATGCTTTAAATATAACATGCTATAAAACAGAGTGGTAGAAGCAATTTTAGATTATGTAACAGTTTAGCGCAAATTTTCAGAAAGGGTTACGAAATTACCCTGTATAAAAGTAGTCGCTAAAATAAACTACTTGTAAGAAATCGTAAACTTAATATTGGGTTTACAGTATTAACCTTTATCAACACCGGTCGTCATATTCATGGCCACCATCTAGCCTGGACTACAAGAAAAGGTAGACGCAAAACTTTACATTATCTTTGAAATTATTACCAATACGTATTAAATGAAGTTTAAAAGGTTAAAATCTTGTTTTTCCAGGCTAGAGCTAATGAAGAATATATCGAAACATTTCATATCTGAGATACTTATGTACCTAATAGTAATAAGTATAATAATTATTATTATTTTAACACGAGTGTTACTGAGTTTTATTTTTATATAAAAAAATTTTCGATAAACCTGTACAGTGTGTTTGCTTTTCATTTTAAAATATAATATCTACAGAATAACCATACCATTAATTAGCTGGTTTGGCTGAAAACAAATTTTATACAACAGCGATACCAGTTTTATTTTTGTTTTTTATTACTGTAAATTACAGTCCGTAATAAAGCATATAGAGAAAATGTTTTATTATTAATAATATTATTAAATTACTTATTACCCACATGCCACTATTATAGTAGTATAATAGTATACTCAGTTTATCTTTAAATATTTATTTAATTAATTATACTAATACTAATGTATTAAAGAATCTTAATAACATGATGGTATAATAACATGATATAAATTTAAATAATTCCAAAGTAGAAAGCCTAAATTTACTAATGTCTGCATCTCACTTTTTATATGACTTAAGCCATCAAGTGTGAATAATTCATTATACTTAAAAAAATTAAATTATAATATTGTTAACATACTAATTAAAAATAAATAGGAAAATAACGGGTTAAGGTATTGCTAAATTGGGTTTATTATTTAACAACAATAAATAAACTGATAATTACAGAATTGTACAATTAAAGCTTTTAAATATTTACTAATATATACATATTAGGAGGTGCCAAAAAAAGCGATAACGTTTTTTCTTTTGATCTCACATGAAAATTCCATAAAAAATTAAAAATAAAAATTTTGTCCACATCCCAACCCGTAATCTCAATTTTAGAGGTGCATCATCGAGTTTTAAAATTAGCGTTAAACTGACAGATACATAACCTTAATTATTTGTATTTAAATGTCAAGGTGGGACTTTTGGAAACATTGCATCAATAGTTTATTTTAAAAATCCAAAAAACGCGTAATTTATTAGTCCTTTAGTAGGTAAAATATAAACGATAGAAACTTGACTCCATGAAATTTTTAGTAAAAAATGTAATGCGGTTTAAGAAAAATCGGTCATTTATATGGAAAAGGTGGCTACATGGAATGTAGTGAGAAAAAACGAAAAAAAAATATTTTCCAGTTATTCCTGTGGAAAATTTTAAAACTCGATGATGCATCTCTTAAAATAGAAATTAAGGGTTGGGATTTGGACAGAATTTTTATTTTGACGTTTTCTATAGAATTTTCATGTAAGAGCGCAAAAAAGGTAATCGCCACACACTAATACATATTATCCATATCCAGTAAATTTAGTAAATAATTGTGTTTTAAAAACCTATTTTAGGTTTAATTACATTTATATGTTATCAATGTTCTCCAGAAATGGTTACATATTGTTTTATTGGCAAAATTATATCCTATTTCTTTTGCATAGAAAGGTATCTAAGCCTCTACATTTCTTTTATTTTAGGTCTCATTAAAAAAATATGTTGTATATTACATAATTTAACCCAACCTTAGTTTCTATTAGTGATCGACTTATTATGAAAGGTAAATCGAATTATTTTCGTTATATATAAATAATAAATAGAATTTAGGCAGAAAGAACTCGGTCAATAGCCTTTTGATTTTTGCATTAAATATATTTACTACTACTAAATATAATTTTAATCAAAAATTTAATGTTATTGTGCTAAAAAAAATCCATTGCAATTTTTATTTACAAAAAGTAAAAAGTCAAATTATAAAGGGTTTTAAGAAATTTTTCTTGACATGGAGCCGTTTATATAAAAATGCACCTACGAAAAAAATGAGATCATCTCCGATAAAGCATACAAATTTCTTAAAAGGAACCTTTTTCGGACCTTGGCTTTTTGATTAGATTGCATTGTAAAAATGACGTTTAGAGGTGTACCACTTCTAACATTATAAGAATACCGTCATTATAATTTAAAGAGTTCTAATAATTATACCGATGTTGGTCGATCACTAGTAGGTATAAACCATTTTACAGAAATAATAAAAATAATAAATAAATATGATGTTAATGTCATCGAAATAAAATAAATAAATACTCACTATCATGCTCCGTGCAAGCTGAATAGAGAGACAGAGCGCAAATCAACATATGACTCGGCACAAGATTCATTTCAATGTTCCATCAAGCGAATTTGATTGATATTTTGGTGGTGGTGGATGATTTGATTTTTATTGATGCGGTGGTGGTTGACATATTTTCGGGCGGGAAGGATGGACGGCACAAAAAAGCAAATGAGAACGCACAAGATCATGAATAACAAACGACATACACGCGTAACCGTAACCAGTTAACGCTAGGTTATAAAAAAATTGCATCGAGAAACATGTTTATTTAGAAAGTTGTAAAATGGCGAATGCGCCGGGATCACATAACTATTTATTAAATAACAACGCTGTATTCTTTAATAATAATTTTTGTAATTCAACCATATTATTTAAAAAAAACACAAATTTAAAACTTTCATCTTTAATGTTAACCCTTTCAATACGACTTTTCGGAAATTAATTTAAAATTTTTTTTTTAGTGTTAAAACTATATTTAGGTTAAAAATAGTTAATTGACTGAATGACAGATTTTTAACTTTGGTGGTATTTGGTGGCCTGGGACAGATTTATCCCTGCAGTAGTATGCCCTGGGATATATTTATATATATATATATATATATATATATATATATATTTATCTCCACACTAAAGAAATTCTACTACTTTTGAAAATGTTTATTATCAAAAAACACTGATGGGATAAAACTATCCCCTGTCATATTACTGCAGGAATATTTTTGTCCCAATGTATATTTTGAGGAATGAGTTGTGACGTACAATGCACATAAAGTATCACAAAAATTCAAGCAAAATTTACACAAAAACTGCACAAAATTGGTTATGTGAATGGTCTTTTTCAATTTAGAGCGTACAATGGCCGAAAAACAGCTGGTTATTGTTCACGTGACGTTAAATAAATTAAGTTTTTATTACTGATATCCCAAGTCAAGACATAGAAATACTAAATTGTTCCGACCCTGTTTTATTTAAACGCACTTAATTAAGTAGATACATTTTTTAATTTTCTTTGGGACGTATATATCCCCGCAGTATTGAAAGGGTTAAGGGGTATTTTTTTAAATTATTTTATAAAAGATCAATATTATTTTTAAACTACTTTATAGTAAAGGATAGCCAAACACTATTTGATTTTTTTAGTATTAACTTTTTAAATTACATAAAAATTGTATTAAAATTGACAAGAATTTTATCAAAAGTAAATATTAAAAAAAAAATCCCCTTTCAATTATTAGGCTTGTACCTTTACAAAATCAAATTGAATTATATTTTATAATTTTTAAAAGCCCTGACTCCACTTAATTTTATAAACGTTGAAACTTAAATTTGTTAAACCCCTTTATTTTTGCTCCTTCTTCAAATAAAAATGTTTCTTTTTTTACATCAATAGTGAAGTGGTAGCTAATGTGATGTAATGATGAGTGTACTGATTATGCAAAATGAATTTCTTCATATGTTTGGAGGTGATATTCATTTTATTGGTGCAGAATTTTAAAGTTTTAGCATAGGTATACTCAATAATTAGTCAAAATCTTTGTTGTTATTTTTAATAATTCCATCCACAAAAAAATTAGTCAATTAAAAAATAAAAATTGTAGATAAAATTACTGAGTAAAGTGTTAATTGCAGAGTATTTTTGTAGGTGTAAGTTATTTAAATTATTTATTAATAGGTAGGTACACATTAAAATCAACCTAAATTGATTTGACCAGTTATTGAAGTAGTTTTTTAATAACACAGGCAAAATACTTTATCTTTTAAATTAATTATAAAATTGCACAATATATTATTTTAATTTCAAAGTGATACCTAAATATACCAGGAAAATTATTTAACTTCCTATTTTTTGATATAATTCTTAGTACTAAGAATTATAATACTTATTCAAATTAAAAAATTAAGTTATTTTAAACTTTTTTTCTTAGTAGGAGTTTATATATATTATATTATATATTATATATTTAGTAGGAGTTTATATATATTATATTATATATTTAGTAGGAGTTTATATATATTTTTTAAATCTTATGTATCTATTAATACAAAAGTAAAACAAACAAAGAAATATTACAGTGAATACATGGTGGCGCAACAAAACATTCCACATTCTTTCTCGTACATGCATGTAGTTTTCAAAGGGTCATATTTTTTTGACCTTCCCTGCTTTAACCCCTACGTCGGGGAGGTTTTTATCCTTAAAATCTTAAATGAAATGGGTGTCGAGTGGCACCTGTTTTAAATAAGAATTAAATTTCCTTTCCAACGACGCCTTGCTCGTTGAAATCGAGTGAGTAGTCCCAGGAAAAATAAGGCTTAGAATGAAAAACAATGTTAAAGTAACAACATTTATTCCCACTTGGGTTAATCAAGTAAATTTTGAAA